TGGAGATTCTGTCAATTCTGCTGTTGTGGCTTCGATATGTCAGGAGGTAATAAAAGCGATGAAGGATAAGCAAGGCTTTGATGGAGGATCTTCTTCTGCTAATTTTGTTGCAAATGCTGCAAGTATTACTTCTTATGCTCTTCACTGTGGTTCTGTTAAAGTTTTGAACAAGAATCTTTGGATTGTTGATTCTGGAGCTACTGATCATATGGTATTTGATGAGTCCATTCTGGTGAATAAGGTGGTTTTAGATAAATCTGTGAAAGTTGGATTGCCTGATGGTAGTGTTAAGTATGTGAACATTGTTGGCACAGTGCGTTTAACAGATACTATTGTGCTTCATAATGTGATGTTAGTAAAGGGTTTTAAACATAACTTGTTGTGTGCTGAAGGGTGGAGTTGGTGTTGTGTTTGATACTGGAGGTTGCGAATTTCAGGACCTTACTTCTGAAAAGTTGTTGGCTGTTGGACAAAAGTGTGTCGGTTTGTACTATATTTCTGCGCTGCTGATCTTCCTCAAGGTGATATCTCTTTTAAGCACAGTTATTTGGCGTGTAAGAAAGCTACTCATGTGGTATTAGCTGATTTTGTTTTGTCTAATAATGTGAATAATGAGAGTCAGACTAGGAGTTTTGACTTGATTAAGGGTTAGAATAAGGCATCTATTGTCAACATGATAGGTCCTATTTTTCACATGTTTTAGGTGGGTATCTAAGCTCATTTGATTACAAAATTAGAGATCTTTGGTGCATATTTGCATTATTTGCTTAAGTTGTGCTCCACTACTCTTCGTTTGTGTGTTTTGATGAATTTCAGGTGATTTATATGCAAATGGAGTATGGTTGGCTAATATTGAGTATAATAATCATGGAGTATGAAAACATATTTCTTAAGAATATCAAATCATGTGTTCGAGACGAACTTGAGTGAAAATGAAGCAAAACGTTGATGAAATACTTGACAAATATGACACCTTTTCACTATTATGCTCATAACTTTTGATATACAAATGATAATGGAGTGATTCAAATTGCATTGGAAAGTAGACTTGAAGACCTTTCCAACGATATATTACACATCTCAAACGGAGCTCCGGATATGAAGTTATAACTAATTTAAGATGAGTGATACGCGCAGCAGAGCAGGCACGTCCGTGCCCAGAACCAGGCACGTCCGTGCCTGGAAGACAGACTCAACAGCAATTTGCTACGCAGTGAGGCACGTCCGTGCCTCCCTATTAGGCACGTCCGTGCCTCCTGGAATCCTAGTGCGCCAAAGCTTGGAGTTAAATCTTATCTTTTTAGGTTTATTTATATACTCTTTTAGGCTTTGTTTTAATTCATTCATTAATTAATTAAGCATTGTTTTATTTTATTTTCTCTCCTTAAGCACTAGTTCTCCTTTATTTTTTTCCAAGTTTTGTAATTCAAGATTCAAGATTCAAGGTTTCTACTTTCAATTTTATTCAAGATTCGTTATTTATTTTTCATCCTTTGTTATTTAATTATGCTTTCATTATTTATTATTGTTTTTGTTTCTTTAATCATGTGTGAGTAGATTCTTTAATTCAAGGTCTAGTGTAGCCCAAGTATTATTGATGCATGAATTAAATCTTTAAATTCTTTGACAACTTTAACAATTGAATTGCTAAATTGATTGTGATTATGCCAATGCTAGGTTAGAAGTAACTATAGTATTGCGATTATTCCATTGTTTTTATCACAACGAGAGTTGGGTATAAACGGATTTGAGTAAATTAATTTAGGGTTTGATTCATAACACGAGAGTACTTATGTTTGATAATTGGGAAGTGAGAGTAACGTGTTTAATGTCTTTAATATGCATGATACCATGAGAATAGGATTGATTGTATGTTAGGGAAGCCATTGATATTCGAGAGAGATCCTTGGTAATTATTAGGGTTTACTTTTCCCCGTTCGATTGAAATCGTATGTTAAGGGTAGAATTACAATTGCATCGATAATAATTGTGGTGAAACTAAGATCTTGGGTGTTTTTTTTTAGTATTTGAATTAATCATATTAATTAGTTTGTTTTCGATTTTTTTTCCATATTTTAGAACCTTGGATAATTGATTTTATTCGATTCTTGCTTAGTAGAAATTCGAGTCTGCTTAATTTTTTTGAACCATAGTCTCTTGGGATCCGACCCTTACTTGCCAATCTACATTAGTATTGGTCTGTTAGGTTATTTTTTATAGGTGCGCGACACGCCTACCACAACAATTGTAAGCTTGATTCCTTGAATATAATGCATGCAAGACGTGGGCATGTTTCTTTGTCAAAAATGAAACATATTTCTGCTTGTCAATGTTCTGGAGTGCATGATTATAATTGTGAAATATGTGTGTTGGCTGCATCATAAGTTGCCTTTTATCGGAAGTGAAAATAAAGCTGTGACCAGGTTTGATTTGGTACACATGGATTTGTGGGGTCCTTATAAAATCAGTGAAATTGGAGGTGCTAAATATATTTTTTACCATACTTGATGACCATAGTAGAACTGCCTGGACCACTTAATACAGAATAAAGAGCAAGTTGAGAGGGTTGTTGCAAATTTTCCTGTGATGGTGGAAACACAATTTGGTTTAAAAGTGAAGTGCATACGGTCTGATAATGGGACAGAACTTTTAAAGTCTCAATGCACTCAGTTGCTTCAGTCTAAAGAGATTATACATAAAAGGAGTGTAGTTGGTGTACCTCAACAAAATGGTAGAGTAGAAAGAAAACATAGGTATTTGCTTGAAGTGGCTCGGGCAATTAGATTGCATGCTAATTTGCCTAAGAAGTATTGGGGAGATTGAATCTTAACTGCTACTCACTTGATTAATAAACTTCTTACAAAAATTTTAGATTGGAAGAGTCCTTTTGAGGTTTTGTATGGAAAGGTGTTGCTTATAATGAGTTAAAGGTGTTTGGATGTCTTTGTTATGCCTATAACAGAGATAAAACAAGGGATAAATTTAACCCTAGAGCCAAGAAATGTATATTTCTAGGCTATCCTTTTGGACAGAAAGCTTATAAGGTTTATGACCTTGAATCTCATACTACATTTATTTCTAGAGATGTAGTATTCCATGAAAACAGTTTTCCCTTCAAAGAATTTTCATCTAATGATTCTCGTGTTCCTATTATTCCTCCCCAAGTCACCTTTGGTGATGATAATCCAGAACACATACCTATTCATTCTTCTTAACCCACATTACAATCCACACCTATTATATCTTCTTCTTCCTTTTCTCCTAATAATTACTCTTTCTCTGAAAATTCCTTGAATATAAATTCTACCACTGATTCTGTCATGCAGAATCTTTCAGACACTTTCATGGATTTTCACACTAGTTCTGAACCTGAAATTCCTATACAAACCAGAACTTCCACTAGAATTACAAAAATTCCCTAACAAACTACAAAATTATGTTGTTCCTTATGTGCCTCATAGGCAACATAATTCACGTCCTTTGTCTTCATCAGCCACCTCAGAATCCATGTCTTTTGTTGTTACTTCAGATGTAACAGAGCCTAAGACTTATGCAGATGCTCATCCTGGATGGCAAGAGGCCATGCAAAAGGAGTTAGATGCTTTAGAGAAAAATGTAACTTGGATTGTTACTGATTTGCCTAAGGTAAAAGAGCAATTGGGTCAAAATGGGTTTTTAAAACTAAGTTGAATCCAAATGGGAGTATAGAATGGTTGAAAGGACGGGTGGTAGCAATTGGTTATCAACAAATTGAAGGAGAAGATTTCACACAAACCTTTTCTCCGGTTGCAAAACTTGCTACAGTGAAAATTGTCATTGCTTTGGCTGCAATATATAACTGGACTTTATGTCAGTTAGATGTAAATAACGCTTTTTTGCATGGTATGCTTGATGAAGAAGTCTACATGGTGCCTCCTGCTGGTTACACTAAAGCTAAATCTGGGCAAGTTTGTAAGTTGCAAAAATCGCTATATGGCCTAAGACAAGCTTCTAGACAGTGGAACAAATAGCTGAAAAAATTTATGTACTCGATTGGTTTCAGTCGGTCTACTCAAGATTATTCAATGTTTACCAGGCTCCAAGATGGGGAGTTCCTGGTTATTCTTGTTTATGTGGATGACATGCTAATAATAACAAATATACCTATCTCACAATCGGTCATTTAGTTACCCATACAAATTACTCCCTCCGTCCAAATTTAATTGTCACAAAGTAATTTAAATTACAAAGTGACTTACAATATTGGATTATGAAAGAGTAATGAAGAGTAATAACAGAATTAGCGTGCTATAATTTCCTTGTAACTTAGCAAAGGGGATCAGGGATTTCATACATGAAAAATAGTGGTGGAAATGTAGGTATGATAACTATGAAGATGTTAGTAATGGCAAAGAAAACTTACCATAGTCGACAAATGAGATGATCTCTCGCAATCTCTCTCAAAAAGATGGAAGCGTGAAATATGAAAATTGTTGTTAATCGATGGTTGGGTGATTGGCAAACAAAGAAACAAATGTAAAATGAAATACAACTATAACTATTATAATGAGTCTGTTGAACGTTGTGGCAACTGATCCAAAGCTCTAGGGCATTTCATTCCATGTCAGCAATTTTTTTTTTTTTTTTTTTGAATAGTCCCATGTTTTTTTTAATAAATCAAAAATGTTCTTTTAAAAAAAATACATCTAAAATGTAACCAATACATAATCAATCATAGCATAGTGCATCATTTTCAAAAGAAAGATTTCTAAAGTAAAAATAAGCACACTGTCCAAACAAAAGATACATGAAAACCCTTATCGTATCATATCATATCATAAACAATAATCTGGTCAATAAAAGTGATATTTTTTCTGCACATATATCAAAATAATATTCCGTACAAGAGAAACAGGAGCAATTTTTTTAGATGACATGAACTAATGATAGTTAGAACCATATGGGCAATATATTGGTAACCGCATGCATGAAATGTGACATAAAATTTCTGACCTCAGTGCTCAAAGAAAGAACAGATGAAATATCTGCCTTTATGAAGCTCATATTAGGGACCAAATCATACCCTTTATATCTCAAACGTATACATTCAACTAATCATATGCCTGCCAACGGGCTCCAAGTCTCCGTAGCTCAATTTTTGAAAAAATTACAGCCCCATATATATGTATAAAACACTGGCACAACTAATTTACAGCAAAATGTATTCAGCTCACCAGATGAATGACATACGTAAACAATTAACAATTGTGCAACTACAGAGGAAAAGAAACAAAAAACTACACTTGGAATACCAAATACATATACACAGGACCTTATATAATAATTGGACAACACTGGATCAGATCCACTCTACTCCAAAGGCATAAATAGTTGGAGAAGTTTAAATATTGACAAAATCTCTGCCATTGTTCAAGAACTGGTGTAGACGAGCTTCACACGACAGTCATAGTAGTCATATTACAAAGTTACTGTCCTATGAATCATCTCCTCCGTCTGTTTAAACCCAAATCAGGGTTGCCTTTCTTCATCGTAGCTACAAATTCCTCATAATTACTCTACCATCCTGCATAGGAGAGAAGAATTATAATTTAGTCTGATTTATAACAATGCCATATAACATAATTTGAGTCTCTTCGAGATGAATGAGAACATAACTATAAAATGACAAAAGCATGTTCAAGAAAAATGAGGCAGCAGCTAGCACGATTATGAATTACGATTATCTACTAAATGGGACATAAGGAGTCATAGACAAGAAGATACATTATCTGTGTCAACTTCAGCAATTATCTCCTGTATTGTTTTCTCATCACCCATGTTATACTTCTTCAAGGCTTGCTCTAGTTCCTCCATGGTTATGTACCTAATGATGTGAAACAAACAAGCAAGGCAGTATTCATTTATCAGTATACAAAGCTGTTGAAATTGTTTCAAAAGTAGACAATACATTTAAAAACCATGAGCAAGTTAAGCTACCCGCTCTTGTCCTCATCAAAATATTCAAAGGCCTTGTACAGATGGTCCTCCTTCTCCATTCTATTCATATGCATTGTGGCTGTGATGAACTCCATGTAATCAATGGTTCCATTACCATTGACATCAGCCTGCAATTGAACATGTGACAGATGAAACACATTGACATAAAGTTATCTTATGCTCAATTTGCGGAGCGAGAAATCTTAAAACAAAATCTGTGAAACTGCTTGTTAGAAGAATTGCTATGATAAAGCTAAACATGGCAGCAGCAAAATGTACAATGAAGTCATTTCCAAAGATTAATTAGTTTACACATTGAATTGCTACTTTTTTCAGTTTGTTCATTGCTCTGAATTGCTTCATTCTGGTTAAAACAGCAATATCAATTGGCTTGTCAGGAGCTTCTCCATCTTCTCTCATCCATGGATGGTCTGCAGTTCATTCAGAATTACATTGTCAAGTTCAATTATAGAAGGGCATTAAGGCATATTTACAAAGGATAATTGGATTTATATAATCAAAACTGTAGGAGTGCTTGTGTGTGTGTGTGTGTGTTGAGGGGGGGGGGGGGATCAACCTTCTAACTTTGATAATAGTAATTTTTTTTCCCAAGAATTTAAAGTTAGCAATTTTTCTTGAAGACTTTGCATGTTTTCCCTACTTTTTAAAAAGTTAGAGTTAGTTCTTATGAATAGTGCTTGGACAATTATACCCTCTAAAATGATTATTTACTTATTTGCCCTCATTAATGTCAATTGCCTCTTTTTTTTTTAACTTTTAAGAATAGTGTGGAGACATTTATACCCCTAAAATATTTGTTATTATAATTTCCCTCATTAATCTTAACAATAAGGCTAAATTAAAAGAGCTCCCTGGACATGGTTAACTACGGAGTGCACATTGCGCACGTTAGCCACCCTAGTATAATTGAAAAGTTATTTTCTCAACAGCAAAAGCATGAATTAATTTGCATTGAGAAGTCACACGTTCCCAAGGTTACTAAATAATACCAGCAGTAAAAGTAGAAATTTCTTTAAACAAAAACAAAAAAGAAAGAAAGAAAGAAAACTTATAGAACATAATAACTTTCAGTCATTAAAACTCTCCCTCTCCTAAAGTTGGGACTATTGACATCCTAGTATGAAGTTTTGTAAATATTTGTTCAATCATCTATAGTTTGGATCATCATAATAAAAATAACTAATCTATCTAAAAAGGGTGAAGTAAGCTGTAAGCCTATCAGCAACATGACCACACTAATGAACATCAAATAACATTTATTTTATGTCCTTAGACATTACATTCATTTTTAGCGAAATTAAGCAGTTTTTGATGTTATTCTTGATTATGGGATGGCGAAATTTCATTTAACTATAGTACTCCGATATATGAAGTGATTCATAATGATGACAATGGGAAGTCATTTACCAATTCATATTTTTGTCTTAAAATCCTTGTGTTAGACTATAAATCTTTCATAAAACTTACTTAAAGCATCAAGAGCAGAAAGCCTTTCCTTAGGATCTTGACGCAACATCTTCTTCACTAGATCTTTGGCACTACTGGATATTGAAGGCCATGGATCAGATGTGAAATCAAGAATGCCCCGTAAAATAGCATCAAAGATACCCTGCTCATTCTCTTACATGGAAAAGGAAAAGAAAAAAAAAGTCAGTATTATGCATCAAAAAGCAAAAGATATGGTAAGCTATATAGCCCTTACAAAACAAGTTCAGCAGTTGGATTCTATCCAAACAAGAATCAAATTCATAAAGTGAAAATATATATATATATAAAGGCATCTATTGGCCAATTAATCTTTGTAAGGCTTATATATAAAATAAAAACAATAATGGAACAACTGAGAGAACAACATAAAAAGTTTCCATCACTCAGAAATGAAAAATTATGTATAAATGAACAACAGGGCAAGAGAATTCAAGAAATTTCCATCTCAAATGATATCTTAATGAAGGAGAAGAAGAATACCTCCCCAAAATGGAGGAACTCCACTTAGGAGGATGTATAATATCACTCCAGCACTCCAAACAGCAGCTTCAGCACCATAACTACGATGTAAAACCTCAGGAGCTACATAATATGCACTCCCAACGAGGTCTTTGAAAACATTTCCTGCATCCACAAGTACAAAACTGTTCATAAACTTCAACTAGGGATAGATAATAAACTTCCTCCATAAACAATTGAGTCTCGTGTAGAATAAACTTGCTCAATGGTGATGATTTATGAAAAATTCAAAGTAATATTACCTAGAATTTTTCTTTAGGTATATATTAGCTAGCACAAAACCAAAGTGGTTCAGTTGAATGTTGCTGGATTGATGTTGGCAACACCTAGAAACTTAGTCCCTCCTTCCCACATCAGTTTTGACACTTAACATGACACATAGTTTCAGGTGATAAGTTGTAATGGTTATCAATTGTTATTTCATTGGAAAAGTAGATGTAAAAGATATATAATCAAGTATTCTTTTATTAAAAAGGTAGATGCACAATAACAACAACAACAACAACAAAGTCTTAGTCCCAAAATGATTTGGGGTCGGCTAACATGAATCGTCATAAGGTATCATACGATATAAAGAAAAGGATATAATAATTTTTATTGAATGTGAGATAGTGTGGGGCCTAGCTTTTTGGTAGGGGAAAGAGAGATGTTTTAAGATAAGAGTGGAGATTTACCAAAATAGAAGTGTAAAAATAATTTAAACAAATACAAAGGAAACTGTAAAAACTAACCAGAGACGGGACAAAAATTTATTTAATGCTAAAATTTTGACAACATATTGGCACCAAAAATTACCTAAGAAACTCACGGGGATGACAGAGCCTAAGTTATCTCAGTACATATCATAAAAAAATTTACAGATTAATATTTTAAAAGTATTTCCTCCGTTCTTTTTGTTCTACTCATTTTTTGTTTTCAGTCGTTCTTCTTTGTTTTACTTAATTTGCTTTATTCTACTTATGGCATACCCTTTTTACCATCTTACCCCTTCAACTCCACAATAATTACACCTTTTCATACACTTTCGCATACTTTATTCACCTTTTTCTTACACAAACACACTTTTTTACATTCTCTCTCTTACTTAATCCTACTTTATCTAACACCCACTTACATTCTTCAACATTTTCTTAAATTGCATATCTATAGTAACTGAATAGGACATAAAAGAACAAAGGGAGTTCTTCAATATATGAATCTACTAATATTACTTATACAAAAGTAATCAATACATATTGAGAGAGAGTATCAGCCAAATGTAGTGATGTGAGTAATTTGGGAGTGTTAGGAGCCCATGGCTCTTTCCAGTAGATTCGTATAATCCTCCAAAATAAGTTAATAATCAGGCTGGAAAGACCAATTCTAGAAGAGGAAAGAAGATAAACTTCGTGGATTTGAATTTCTTCAGAGACAATAGGGCAGGATGATTTCGATAGTAAGAAAATAGGATGAGATATATTATGTACAAGATTTATCCAATCTCCCAAAAGAAGCATCAACTCTTCTTTTATTACATTGAAGTGGTTGTTGATTCCCCAAGTTTCTAATGCACTGAGTGTCAATGTAATACTATTAACTTGATTGGAAGGTCACAAAGAACCATTACTAAACATTTGTCCAATAAGCGAAGGGATTATAAACTCCATAATCAGTAATACATAAACTTCTTTTAGCACACAAAACATAAAAATAGTTCCTTATAGCAAATGAGGTAGAAGTTTTTTACGAAATACCGTAAACTCAGTCTTATCCTTGAGACTATTTTGCTGTTGGGCAAAATTAAGAACTCCCTCTTCTAATTTCTACCCATTTACAATGGATCACCTACATGGACCAACATGTCATCCCTGTGAGTTTCTTAGGTAATTTTTTCTCTCTCCAGTCTCCACTCATCCTTATCCAATGCAATATGATCCTGAAAAGATGCAATTGTTTCATGTCCCTTATCACCCTTTCCATCCTAATCATCTTTGGTTTTTTTTGACTTTTTATTATCTTTATTATGTCTGCATTCTCTGAATCAGTACTTCTTGATGTTGCTGTTAGTGACCTGACTTACCTCAATTTTCTAATAAATATACGGATTTCTTAGCAACTAAGCGACAGATTTTCACAAGACAAAACCTCCGCTCTATCAGGGAAAATACTTGTTGGAAGTGGCTTTGTTAATAAAATTATGGAAAACTTTAATCGATTCAAGGTAGTCCATAGGCATCAATGAAAACACTGCTTCCTTGATTACTAAAAGTTTTAAACTGATTCCTAACAATGGTAACAAGGACAAAATTCGGCTTGACAAGGAATTGGAAGGGAGGTTTCTATTTGATACTTTTTCTTTCCTTCAACCACCGCGAGTAATAAGAGCTATTGGGTGGGTCAAATTTTGGTTCTAAAAGCTTCACTAAAGGAAAATGCCCAAAAGATGAAAAAAGATTTATTGCATCCACAGCTGGGGAATTTCCTACAAATTGAGCACCTTTTTTCTTAGAAGACAGTTTTGATTTCAGGAAGGAAATGAATAGGCTCTGTAAGTTGCCTTTGCAACAATCAGCTTAGTTGCCATTTTAAGGCTAGTCGGGAGTTTTCAAGGCCTCATATGTGGAGAGTCAATAATTGTTTCATACACCCGGGTGTACCATGCGCATGGTACACCCGGAAGAACATCACCCTATGAATAAAAGAACATTACCTATAAATAGAAAAACGTTACCTATAAATAAGATAACATTACATATAAATAAAAGAACATTACTTGTAAATAAAAAAAAAATCGTAGTTATAATAATTTATTATTACATTACAAACGAACATAGAGTATATCAAAAAGAACGTTACATATAAAATACAGAACATTACATACAATAAAAGAACATAACTTAAAAATAAAATAACATTACATATAAATATAAAAGAACATTATCTTTTTGAAAAAGACGTTACATATAAATAAGGGAAAAATGCTACTACCCAAACCCATGGAAGAAGATGATGAACAACAATGGTAGTGCCAAAAATTCAAACAATCAAGTAATTTCATGATAATAAAGCTTTATATGAACAACAAACATTATCACAAAACACAAAATATAGGTAAAAATAACAAGCAAAGAGAGAGTTCACTATTGAAGCACAACCTAGGGTTTCATATTCATGAAGTAGAACAAAGATGAACAAAGAAAGAGAAGTCATATCTCAAATGAGTAGAAAACCCTTGTAAAGTGAATTAATAGTGGAAATCAAGCAAGTTGAACACTCAATTGCAAGTTATTTAGCCAAAATAAAAAATACCCAAAATTCTCAAACATGAAAAATCCGAAAATTTGGTTGTGAAATTCGGATTTGGAGTGTAAAATCTAGTATAAATGTGTTTGTGAGTGATGAATTAAGCACATAAAAACTATAAAAATCAAGAAATAAAATGGAAGAAGAAGTTAGAGGGAGAGGAGAGAGAGTATCGAAGAGAGAGAAAATAAATGGGTGAAATGAAAATTACATATAAAATAAAGAACATTACATGTAAATGAGGCTTCATAAATAAAAGAACATTAAATTTGTCCTAATGTTATTTTATTTATATGTAATGTACTTTCAAGTGTACCATGCACATGGTACACCCCCCTCTACCATACTATTTGTGCCTAATTTAATCTTTGTTGCCAAGCTCTACAAAATAGGATTCCAACCAAGACAATCTTAAGAAGAGGAATCCTCTCAAATACTCTAATAAAGAGCGTTCCTTCAGTTATAAACTGATTTCACCTACAATGTGGTACATAAGAGGCACTTAAAACAGATATGGAAGCATAATTCACTACCTAGTTCTGTTCAACTAGTCCACAAAGTCATCCCATATCAATTATCAATTTGCATGCTCATGGGTTAGTAGAATAGCTGCACAAAATTAGGAAGTACGAAGTGATAATCTAGAAGACTGGGATTACTATCACTGAAACCATTTTAGCATGTGCCGCATATGAGAAGGATGGAAATTTTACAGAAGCTTGACTATTATAGTTGCTAATTTACGTCTGAAATAGAGGTACTTTCAGGTGTTTAAAAATTTAAATTAAAAAAACAATAAATGATAGATACTACCTCCATTTCATTTTAATGTTAACATGTTACTTTTTCACGCTTGTTTATATAAAACTTTGATCATTATTATGTCTAACCAGTCTAATTGTGTATCTGTAGTCTGTACAAACTATAAACAGTTATTATCTTGAAAATACATATTGAGACGAATCTAGCAAGATTGCACACAACTACATTATTCCTTACATATAAATCACACACGATGGTCAAAGTGAAATTTGTGAAGTGTGCCAAAATTATAGTTTAACATCAATATGACTTGGTTATACGGACAAGGACTTAATTTGGGCAAATAATTCGTCCTAAAAATTTGGTTAAGATCCAAATTAGCATGCAATTACATGAATTGAATTATTTTAGACTTTCTACAAATTTCATTGAATTTAAGACAAAATCCAAAAGTGATTAGATTTGGCCTGAATGCCTGAACTTATATTTATGGAAATCCAAACAAAATAGTTTATAATATACCCCTAATCTTCCCACGTATTTTCCTATGAAAAAATTTTAAATTGTTAATTCTTTCAATTTTGCAACAAGTCATTCAGTAGGTATATGCACAAGTCAAGCAGAAAGGATTCTCCCACTCAAAGACTGGTCACTAATGGGAAACAAATGAGGATGGCTCTAGCTGGGGAAATCGGGAAGCATGACTAAGCATTGGTTATAATCATAATGGGAGCATTCGTGGTATTTTTCCAGTGACCTGGGAGTTGTTTTTAGACTCCAAATAAACTTAATTACATGCTTTGCAACAAGCCCTGAACACTACAATCTCAAGACTTGAAAGTTGAAACCATTTCATAAGAGTTGATCTACAAGCATGCTTTCAGTGCGTATCAAGATATGCGGTACACTGACTCGCGCAACCAGAAGTTGGAGAAAGGGGGTAGATGGGAGGGGATATGAAGCTGATGAGTTTGATAACAGTTGTATAATCAATTGACAAATAAATAAGGAAATTGTTAGGTGGGTAGTTTTAAAAACATGTAACAAGGAGCAAAATAATGAAGCTAAGGTACGGTATGGTATAAGGCTATACGGGGCCAGTATGATCTCTGGTTTCAAATAGAAGCACCTCTCAACAAACATTACATTACACTTGTTGGCAATTAGTTGTCAAATTCAATTAATTAGTCCATAAAATTAAAAACCCCCAAAGAATATAATGATCTCAATCATTAACACCTTTCTCACAAAGTACCAAACTTTACATGTGCAATTACATTTTTTTAGTTGGTTTAACATTATATTAGAGTTGAAAAATAAACGGATTATCTAAGAATACCAAACTAATTTGTCATGACATAATTCTCTGATACCAAAATCCATTATATTCCAACAAACATTTGTTTAACAATGTAATGTAACATATTAAAATACCCTAATCCGCTTCAATATTTTTCTCCATGTATTAAAAACTCTGAATTCTCAATCAATTTACTCAAGTATGCTTCTCATTATACTGAGTACTCGGTAATGATTACGCTTCCACACCCATTATACACCATATACCAGTATACTGAGCCGTAAATTGCTTCCGCAACTACTTGATACCGAGTAATAACCCGCTTTTGCATTTATTATTGTATACCAATTAATTTAACACGATGATTAAAGTCTATAATTAGAATTAATTCTGACACTATCATACTACCATCATCATTTACAATCTTAAAATAACCTAACAATCAACAATACATAATTATAACATCATTTAGTCATTTACCATCTCTTATACAAACCTAACAAAATCAACAATACATCATAATTTAAACAGCCAAGAACTCATACCTGGTTTGAAGAAGACAGAGAGTCCGAAATCAGTTGCTTTCAATGGCGAATCTTCAAGAGAGCTTAAAAACAAGAAATTCTCAGGTTTAAGATCTCTATGCATAACCCCCATAGAATGACAATTGTACACAACTTTAACAATCTGTCGAAACAACCTCGCCGCCTCGCGCTCCGAATAATGCCCTTTCGCAATAATCCGATCAAAAAGCTCGCCGCCGGCGCACAATTCCATAACCAAATTGACAGAGTGACGGTTGTTGGTGACACCAAATTGTCCGCGCCCTAATTCGCGGCCGAAATTGTAGCTGGCGCGGACGTCTTCTATTGGTCGGCCGAGGACTCGGCCGATATTGGAAATATGAGAATAATTTTGCTGTTGGTTCTGTTGTTGTTGCTGCTGCGACGGTTGTTGCGGCGGAGGGTCAGGGTGGTCGTGAGGTTGTTGAGGTGGTGGCGGAGTAAGTAGAGGGTCAGGGTGGTCGTGAGGTTGTTGAGGTGGTGGCGGAGTAAGTAGAGGGTCGGGGCGGTTGTCGTAAGAGCGGAGTTGAGAGAGAGTGGAGGGTAAGCCATTACACTTAGGGATGTCAGTGGCGGGTCAAGTAGGAGATCCGCCCCATTGGGGCGGGGATGGGTCTCGGTTTGGCGGGTGGTGGGGCGGGGATGGGGATAAAAATCATACCCGCCATGGGTGATGGGGCGGGGGTGGATTTTAAGTTGTACCCGCCCCATTCCCGCCCCGCCCCACTTCGTACCCGCCCCATCCCCACCTCATACCCACATCTATATATCTTTTAAAGAAAAATTACATACTTTTATTCTATTTATAAAATAATTACATGAAATACAATATTAATTATAATACTTTGTACGACATTTATATTATAACACAAAAATGTGTATATAATGTTTTATTTTATAATTCGTATTAATTATGTAAGATTGTGTATTTGATATACGGATATTAGGTGGATCTTGGGTGGGGATTAGGCGGGTTTTTGGTGGGGATTAGGTGGGGATGGATATCCTAGTAGGGGGTGGGGCGGGGATGGTTTTAGAGTTGTACCCGGTGGGGCGGGGATGGGGATGAAAATTGGACCCGCCGCGGGGATGGGGATGAAAATATTAGGTGGGGATGGGGATGGGAAGGCCAACATCCGCCCCGCCCCGCCCCATTGACATCCCTAATTACAGTTGCCCATTTTTGGAGGAGAGAGAAAATAGGGGAGAAGTGGATATTGGCGGAAGAAGTGGGAAAATGGGGGATTTATATGTCTGAAGACCAAGGTGGGTTGGGTTGGGTTGGGTTTGAAGGGTTTGACAAATTCAATTGGTGGGATTGAAGGGTGAGCTAGACGAGGTCTGGTCAATGTTCAACATGGTCCATGTTAATGTGTTGATGGTCAATGCAAGTCACAAAACTTACAACTTACTCATTCATACTGAAGTAAGATTCGAAGTACAAGACATACCCGATAGTATCAACGACGTATTGATATTTAAAGTATTTTCTCTTTAACATACATTACAAGAATACCTCCACCAATTTTTGTGACAATAGCGATTGAATTAGTTGAGGAATGGTCCCTCCATCTCCCCCTCCCCTCAAGTGATGGGAATTCGATTCCTTATCCAGCCCCCATTCCTATGTTAGGGTGGGGGGTCCATCCTGTATCTTATCGTAAATAAATAAATAAAGTATGAATTAGCCGGTAAAAGTGTTTTAACAACTTGAGTAGAAGTTTTGAGTTTGGACCTTGAGCATGCAACAACATTTATAGTGAGAGTTTTTTCTTCTCATTTGGAGATTAATGTAGCATTAAGATTAATCAAAACCTAGTTGGTTCTAATTTATGAATGAGATACCTCTTTATTAAATCCAACCTGCTACTGCCAACCATAGCTAACCAAAGAGTAACAATTTGATTGTACGAAGTAGATTCATTTCAACCTTGTAAAAATAAAAACTTTGGAAATTAGTGTAGAATCATATGCTACATCACCTACATGCTCAACAATTTTTTAATTATATTTCTTCTGCATACAATATTATGAAGTTACATCGGTTCCCGTCCCGTCAAAAAAAATAAGTTACATCGGGTTAATTGCATATTGACTAAATTTAGCCATCTTGGAGAGTTCATCAATAGTTTCAACAAGGTGATCAAGTTTTGCCACAATTTCAGTGAGCAAAGAACAAAATGTAACCAATGATAATATAGCTTTACTCTCTTCCAAGATATTGGATTTGTTGTTGAGATGTAAATGTTGGTTTATAGCCCATTGAAGTTGATATGTTAAGCTATGTAATTGTGTAAGAAGTGTTGTGCTTGTTTGTAGACTTCTCTTCATGTTGTTAATGTCCTGCCCCAAACCCCTCAGAAATTTTGTGGCTAGGTCGGTTAAGTCTTGCATCTCTTGCTTGAACAATACTCGAAGATTGTAGGGTGCCTGTAAATTATATGTTGACATTGTCAATGTAATCAATTTTGGATTCAATTGTTTTATAGAACCTACAACAATTTATTTATTATTTAAGTTTACCAATATATAACTTTAATTATTAATGTTTCTTTAATAGTTAATTAAAACCAATACGGAGTAACATTTTGCATCATAATATTTACTTTTCATATCAATAAAAATTTATCAAAACTAATACGGAGTACTTGTAGACAAATAGTGTAAAAGTCAAACTAAAGCAACTTTTTATGAAAAGAGAGACGCACATGTGTGTAACATCTTAGTTGTAACCGATTTTTTTTAACAAGGGTATTTTTGTTTTTTTTTATATTCCACCCGGTTCATTTGGGTTATTTCAAATTCGGGGATCAGTTCTGGGTGGTTAGGTTCTATTCCCCTCCCAATTGTTGTTGCGGGGGATCGAACACACAGTCCTCCCTACCAAGTGCAGTCCCAATCACCACCGCATCAACAAATTGGTAACAAGGGTATCTTTGTATAACTTCTTTTACTTTTAACCTATTTTGCAAGAAAGTCATTTTGGTCGGTCAAGACATCAGTAGGTCTTTAAATGAGGATCAAGAAGTGGAGGGATGGTGAGTCTCTCCATCTCCCCCTGGTGTGACCAAGGTTCAATCCTCACCCTCACCCAAACTGTGATAGGAGGGGCACCTCGTATATGACCGTATAAAAAAAAAATTAATAGGCCTTTAAATTATGGAATTCTTAAAAAACACAAACAGATTGCTCTTACATAGTTGTGCATTTGTGCTTTCTATTAAAGACTAAATAAGAAATACGTGTAGTAGAAAGGTAGAAGCACCTGTGATTCAGAATGGAGGACACCATGGAGGGCCATAATTTCGTAAGCACATTGCCTTAAAATGGTACCGATTTTGACGTACTGAGACCATGGATAGGAAAATTGCTTGAATCTACCATGAGGGGGCTCCCATTTTAATGAACTTGCCTGTAAAATAATTCAAATTAAAAATATATTGAATTGTTAATCATTTTTGTATATAATAAATAAATAAATAAAAACACGAATTACAAACGCTAAGCAGAATTAACGAGAGAAGTTACCAAAGTTTGCAACTTGATAGAGGCAACTAGATTGTTTCTACATCTTTTATAGGCAGATTCATTGGAAAGCTCATCAAGAACAATCCTCGAAGAGTTTATGTCTTTTGACCCATCAAAATCTATATAATTTATCACGCATTCTGATGAAAAAGGTATAAACAAGAGCACGTTAGTGACAGTGTTACTTCGTATTATACTTGGATAACAATAAGGTTTTAAACACACCAAAAGTTTAATTTAGTTTTGCAATTTCAGTGATATTATGGCTTATACTTTTAAGCAACAAATTTAAAGTGAAAATTAATTCTGATAAACAGTAAAAAAAAGAGAGTATATGTATGATGGAGCTCTTACCTTCAAGTGAATCAGGGAATACGAGCACATTCACTAAAACAGCTACGATCCCTCGAATCGCCACCGAGTAGAGGCGGTCCACAGCCACCGTGATAGAGTGTCCCATCCGGTAGCCAGAAACTACGATCAAACAGAAAGTAAATAGAGTCACCCTAAACGCGTATTCGTATTGTACTAGTGACGGCCATATCTTCATGAATGATGTTATAATACCTACATGTACATACATCAACACACAAGTATTGTGTTAATGCAACATTTGTAACATTTCAGTAGTTTTAGACTTTATAGTTTAACTTAAATTACGTACCAATGAAAAATATGCTAACACCAATTATTATAGGTGCAGCAATTGTTCCTGTACATAATGCAACTTGAGCTATGGCAATGGCCAAGATTCCAGCGAATGAGCTTCCTATTGCACGGTTGAACCCCTTGCTAAATGTCATGCCTGGATAAATTACATTAAATTAAATTCCAATCTTATAATAACACTAAGAACAATTTACAAATTAAAACTAATGCAAACACCATTATATTCTCCATTGGTATGTAACTTATTCTCCAAATGTCCACGTAGGATCACTATAAATTTCTTTTTTGAAATTGTGTCTCGTAGCAAAACCACTACTAGAAGTAGCGATTTTGGTACTAAGTTATATTATACAATTAACAAAGTTTATCAATGTTGACCTAAACTCTTACTAATGTATAGTGAACACAAGAAGTAAAGGAGTACGAGTACATACCAACAGTGTATTCGAACATGACAGCAGTAGTAAGAATAGCCCAAATGAGATTGTTGCCACCAAAAAAATGAAAAGGAGCTGGAATTAAAATTAGTAATGAAACAATAACAACCGCTAATCCTACTTTAAATGGGAAGATTATTCTATTAATGTCGTCCATATAAAACTTACAAACATTCTTAACCCAAATACTTCCCTTACTATTTGTGGTTTCTTTGGAGGTTGCAATGGTACTACTTGTATTTTCTATTTTTATAGGAATGTGAATGTCAATATTACCCCTTTTCACATTCATTTTTTAATTTAGAACGTATAAATATTTTGTAGGAGAGAAAAGTGTGCATGATCTAGGAGATTTTGCAAACTATATATATGCATATGTAGAGATAATTAAAATAATATTATATATTTAAACAATTTTCGAATAAAATTCGTAAATTAATTATTAAAGAAAAAGAATAAAATGAAAATAATGAACCTTGTGCTAGGTATTTGCAGGCTAGAATAAGATGGTTAATATCAGCAAATAAATATTAGGAATCACGGCATGCATGGCAATGCAATTGGCAGCATTTTTTATTTTTCTTTTGGAGGAATCTCAAAATCTTTCTTACATTTAATTTCAAAAAATTAAAATTATTCATCATATACTCTGCACAGATAAAGAATAATGTTAGCATAATTGAGTATTTATTAGGCGGTTACTATTCCACGGAATCAAATGCGCCAGGGTAATGTGGCTGAACTAACAAGAGCTTCGATCTATTCTCAGATCATCGTATAATACGGTAGCTCATTAAGAATCAATAATCTCATGCTTAATTTCTCGTACTCTGTATGAAAAATTGATAATTATATGTGAGATAAGAATTTAAAAAAAAAAAAAAAAAAAAAAAAACCTACTCAAAAGGAAATATGTAATATATAATAAAATAATGATATATGATCTACTATACTATTTGTACATCCTTCATGATTAATCCGCGTTGATCAAGTTCAATCATGTGAACTTATAATACTCGTATAAAATTAGGGTAATCAAAACGGAGATAGTAAATTCAAATAAGTTTAGGTAAACAAAATCGTATAATTATAGTAATGGTTATTAAAACAAATTTCTACACACAATATCATCAGCGTTTGTAGTCCAACGGTTAGGATAATTGCCTTCCAAGCAATAGACCCGGGTTCGACTCCCGGCAAACGCATTTTTTGCCGATGCTATCTAACTCCCACAGCACCCCATTTGTCTGTTCTATAACCATGGAGGAAAATTCTAGTTTCCTTTGCTTCAATCAAAATTCAAAACCATCTTATGCATTGACTTCTTTCCCTCTTACTCTCTCAGTTGCTTGAATTTGTTGATCTGCCACTAAATTTGTCAAAGTTATTAAAAGGTTTCATTATTATTATTTTTTGTTGAAAATTGTTTCCCATTTCTATTGAATTTGTTGTTTCATATTCTGCAATTGCAAAGTTTAAAGGGTTTTTAATCCCTATACTAGGATTGAAACTATTTTGTTACAGAATTAGTTGTTTTTTATTATGAGATGTGTTTTTCTAGCTACATTTGCTAACCCCTTTTATTGTTCAATCTTAGAAATGATATATCAACACATGAACTGTCAGTTAATTTGATGAATTGTAATTTTCAAGTATTATGCAGACTTTTTTATTAAATAGTTCAAATGCCTTAACTGTAATTTTATCTGAAGTTAGTATTATGTAAAATTCTTAGGTAATTAGATGATGTAATAGTGGAACGTATCACCTTCTTCAACACTCACTATTGCAATTGTTGCCATTATCTGTCACTGTGATTTAATGGGGTTTTGAGAAATTATGTGTTTTCATGTAACGCGTATTTGATTTATCTGCTTAGAAAGCTTCTTATGATTAACAATCACGATTGAGCTTTTCATGGGAGTACTTTGTTGGCCTTTTGTATTCTGGGCATAATTTAATGAGAAATTTTAAAGCTATAGAAATATATATCAATTATCTACATAAAACGACTGATATTATAAAATACGACGACCTTATGATATCTAGAAAGGTTTTAAGTTTTCAGAATTGGTGGGTTCGGACCCCCCCTTTGTAGCATTTTGGTTTTAAGAATTTTGACTAATAATACATTATCTTACTATTATTCCTAACCTTCAACTAATATGATCTTCCAGACTTGTTCTGTCATGCCTAAATCACATTATTGGTTTTACATTTTTAATCTGACAAGGGTTTCCTTGTTGGTAACTAATGTTATGCTCTAAGTGGTGCGTCTGCTTGTGGCAGTTTCATTGTCTCCTTCTCGAACAGTTCTCCTGATCCAGAAAAGGATAGTGCTGCAGTACAACAATTCTTTGCCAAAATGGAAGTTGCCTTCAAGGCTCGTCCACTTTGGAGTGGTTGCTCAGAAGAGGAGCTTGAAAGTGCTGGTTAAGTGAGTTAACTTGCTTCTTTGTTGTATGCGCTCTTTGATCCCATACATGCAATCTTGATTCAATGATGGGTACATTACATTTGACCTGCCCAATTTTCACTTGCAGAGACTGGAGAAATATGTCCTGAAAAAATTATTTCCTCGTGCTTTTGCTTCATTTCCTGACGATGTAAAGATTGATGAGCAGCTTACTGAAAAGATAGCTTTAGTTCAACAATTCATCTGGCCAGAAAATTTGGATATCAATCCACCCTTTCAAAATGAGTAATCATGGCTGGTTAGTATGAAAAGTTGATGCTTTTTTATCATATTGTATCTGTAACAGCTTGAACAACTTCTTTGGAATAGAATGACTTGTAGATTTTACTACTGAGTTAAATTTCAACTCTCCTCATTTAGATATGCATCGGATTTGACTATATCTCACTGCACTTAAAATATTTTAAGGGAAAATTAAAACTCCCTCCATCTCACTCAAATAGTCCCAAAATAACGACCACTCTTCTTATCTACTAAGCTAAATTATAAAATTTCCCATATCTGACTAAATTTAGGATTTTATGCGTCGCAAATTGAAAAAAAAAAAAAAAACAAACAAACAAAAATTGCTTGCTCTAAACAATTACATATCTTATCTAGGATAATTATGGTATATTGAGCCAGACCAAAAGTGTCCTATTAAGACAACCAGAGAGGGATTATTATTCTTTTAGTTTTCGAGGTATCTAAGATTCTAAGTTGTCACAGGTCATAAGTTTATAAATGAGGCATCCAAATACTTAGTTGTATGGCCTTTGTCATTTGTTGATACGATAGAATGGATAATCACGCATCCAACAAAGTAGAGTCACAAAATCAGGAATAAGAAAAGTTTTGCTAGAATGGAAACATCACTCCGTCTAATGTTTACAAGTTTACTGCAAATTTGGACTTCTGTTCAAGACTTCAAGTATGATACTCGTTAGATGTAGTTGTCATTAACTCTTTCACTTTATGTGGACTAATTACAAAACACTCTGACTGTTGAGTACTTAAGAGTGTTTGCACTTTTGAAAAATATGCCAGCTTTCAGTTATTGTAATTTCAAAAATATTAAAAATCTTGAGGTTTTTATTTCCATATTACTTTTCCGTTACTTTCTTGGGTTTTTTTTTTCCGTGTCATTTTTGGTCATAGTATCAATTTCTTCATGAAATGCATATAAGAAGAACAGGAAATTATTAAAATCACTTGAAGTAAAGTTGCTAATTGCATGAGATTAGTAAGTAATATGAATGGAATCTGAATCATATAGTATTATTGAACATAATTTCTTGCTTTGAAACGGCACTTAATTAAATGCAGCTACCACCTTGAGACACAGGGAGTATTTCTCAAGATTTATGCGCCATCTTAATGTTGGCAGCTTGCGCAAAAGGAGTTGCAAAAGACTAATATGTACAAGGCACCTAGGGAAAAGCTTGCCTGTATTCTTAACTGTTGCAAAGTCATAATTGTTGCACAATGTTGTTGTCACTGCAAATGAGGATACCCCTGGAGCTGATGAATTTCTTCTGGTACTTATTTATGTCACTATAAAGGTCAGTTCTGCATTATTGCAAGTAATTTCTGCTTCTGCCTCCTTGCATGTGCTGGTGTGACTTTTGCTTATCTAGTTTCTTTATCTGTATGTCCAAAAAAGAAAAACCACTTTTGATTCTAATGTACTTTCAATTGTGTCACAATCACTTGCAATGAAATCAGAAGCCCTTAAGATGGGACGAAAAGAAACTTAACCTTTAATAGGTTGATTTTATATACACCATTCAATTTTATGATTATTGTGTTTTCTTTACATTTATGCTTGAAGCATTCACCTAGAAATCTAGGGTGCTGCATCCTTATAACTTTCGTTGGTTCAATACAAACTTACGCAATCTTACATGGCATTGTTATGTAGGCAAATCCTCCCCAGCTGCACTTGAATTTGCAATATATACAGCGTTATATGAGTCTCGATTAGTTTCAGAAACAGCTTACTACTTCACAAACATACTTTCAGCTGTATCCTTCATCTCAAACATTGATGCACAAGCTCTTCCAATGGATGAAAATGAATTTGAAAGGAATATGGACTCTGCTCAAGCATTTCTATTTGGGTTAACGACTGATATTCAGACTACAACGAATACTGTTGACAATACTTCTAGCTCAAAACCCCCCATGGAAAAATTTCAGCAAACTTTTTCTTCTAATAGTGACTCCACAAAACAATCACAAA